CCCCCCCCCCCCCGCAAAAGAAATAATTCTCATAAAATGGCTCCCGAGGGGATGTCCCCCCCCCCCCCCCCCCCCCCCCCCCCCCCCCACCCCCCCCCCCCCCCCATACAAAAAATTCAATGGCATCAAAAGGAAAAAAAAAGAAATTTTTGAAACTGGGAAGTCTGACTCATTCGCATTTAGTAGAAATGCAAACGAGACCTCTGTTTAAATTGCTTTTGTTAAATCGACCTATACAATAGAACTTAGACTGGGACCCAGTGCCAGTTGTTTAAGTCAGACCAAGAGCCGGTTAAAGCTAAAGTTGACAGTAGAATTTGTGCCATAAAAGTAGAGAGGTAGAGAGAGACAGATAGGCACATGCTCCAGGCCTCCAGCAACAAATGCAATGGTCGATTTCGTACACTAAATGCCCACCCTAACCTCGGATCAAATGCTATACGGTACTTAACCCTCTATACAGATAAACTAAAGCCAAGAACAATTGATTTGTTGCCAGAGAGAAAGAGAAATAGATAAAAAGAGAGAAGGGGACGGGGTCTTCTTCTTCCATTTGAGTACATCCCTCTTTACAGAGTATTGTTGTACCATACTGGGGTGTTCAGGGTTCAAGAGAGAGCAGACATCTGTTGGTGTTTATCAACATGAATGTATTTTAACATATTTGTGGCTTACACCCAGTAAATATAATCGATTGATCGATCTGTATTGAAAAACAAGTCAGAAAAAATCTTGGAACCAGCAGGACTTAAACCTGCATCTACTGCTGGCCGGGCAGCGACTCTACCACCAGGCCATCACTGGTCCATGGCACAGTCACGATGAACTAGAAACAATTACCCAAGCTCTCCTGATTCATTCTGACTTATTAATATTCATTAGTCCGCCATAGGACAATAACTTTTATATAATGTAATGTTTTCAGGGAGAAATTTCAATTATTAAAACATATTTGTGGCTTACAAAAAAACAACATGAACGTAGTGTTTCAAAAGTATAAAGATGGGGGGGGGGGGGGAATGATAGGGGACAGGACCTGTATAAATAATTATTGAATGATGACCGTAGCATGTCAATGAACTATCGTGTTTATCAAGTTTGTTGGCCCAGAGAGAGAACTACCCATATTGAGTTCAGAATGGAATAATCAAGGCTCCTTTCATGCTCTTCTCATCTCAGATTCTCATCAACTCTGAAGGCATCATTGAGACAGATCAGTGGATACAGTTCTCTAGTGAGAGATATTGAGGCTCTAAAGAAAGAGAAGTACTCCTCTGCCAACGAGAGCCATGAAAAGTCCCTGCAAAAGGTAAGGGGATGCATGTCCACCCAATGAAAATGCTTTTTGTTTTGTCTTGACAAAGGTGGAAAAGATCAGTGAAAGTTTAAGGAAAATCTGATTGATTAAAGGTAAAGACCAGTATTGGAAACGCCCCAATTTTAAAAAATGAAATGGAAGCTCTTATTACCAATCATGTGAAAGAATATGTTTTGACTAATACATGATGATAAAATTTTTGCCAGGAAACCGCCTACTCATTGATATATTTGGTAAATTAGTTTATCTATTGGTATCTGAGAGATAAACGCACGTGCGCGCATGTGTGCGTAGTCCCATATACATTTCTTATCATTTTGATGATTCCAGAACCTTGCAGTACACACCAATACTTATATGCTAGATGATCAACCTTTTCTGATCGATTCCATAACGTTTCTTTCACAATGCAATCACATGACATAACTGGTCTTTATCTTTAAACAAAATTAGCATCTGAATGGTTTCCCCTCGTAAGCATCTCTCCATCAAGATTTTACAAGGTGAAATGACATTGCAACAAACGTTGAGTGCTGGCAGCTAGGGCCCCTGGACCATCTACTGAGCTATGACATGCTGTATGACACATTCACAGAGAGGGACCGGTCAGAGGCAAACGTCATGGCTCTTACTGTTACTACACATACAGATGCTTGCAAACAGAAGTGTGCTGACTCCAAATGAGGATGATTGGTTAAATCAAACTTCATTGAATATTTTAGCCCTTGCCAACACAAATTCATATACTATGTCATTTGTTTTTTTTTAGTTGTGGGATCTGATGATGCCAAACACCAAATTGGATCAACGCATCACAAAGCAATGGGGAGAACTCGGTTTCCAAGGCGATGACCCAGCAACAGACTTCAGAGGGATGGGTAAGTATTATCAGCATGTAAGATATTTTAGTTCAAAGAGACCAGTCACTGAGAAATGTTTTTATCTGTTTATATGATTAAATATCAACTTGAAATAGTACTTATATGAAGAGATATTGGGAGTTTGAATATTTCACAATAATGGTAAACAAACTTCAAATGTAACGGATACTCATGGTTATGTCCTCTCTGTGATTACATATCTTTTTTTCTTTTGTTTACCCTTTAAAGCCAAGATAATTGAAGAGTTTGACTAGAATTCATGTGTATACCCTTCTCCCTGGCACACATCACTGTCATAAATTTGAGGTAACAGGTCATTAGTGTCAATGTCATCTAATGTTTAGGGTATGATGTCTAAGTGGAATTTTCCTATTCATGTTTCTTTCTCTCCCTTATCATATTAAAGGAATCCTTGGACTGGACAACTTAGTGTAAGTGTCACAAAATGTTCTCTTTATTTTCAATTTTCACTTACATCTCTACTTCAGGAATATTTAGTGGTACAAATACTTAAATGTACCTCTTACGTTTGTTAAACAATGACTGCCATGTTTGTTGAGCTAGAAGAAGCATATAGCATGTGAGCAATCTTCCTTAAGAGGAAGGAAGGAGGAAACATTGAGTCATGTGGTTTCCTCGATGATTAGATTACAACTTGTGTACAGATTGGTCACTGATTAGACATTGTTTGCTATATAGAGGGCGCAAGTAGCTATAAGTAGTGCAGTGGGGCTCTAAGGTATCCATGCTTGGGGGGAAGTTGTCATCCTGCAAGCTTGTTGAAAAAACTCCTGAAATCACTATCATGAACTGTATGCTTTCAATTCCTGAAATACATTTTTTGTATCTTTTATTTATTCATGCTTAATGATGTCATTAAAAACGATTATATTGACAGCTCTCAAATATATTTACTGGTATACTGTCTCTCTCATACTCATACTGATGTATATGTACCCATTTGCTTCAAATTGTCCAACTTGTAAGAGTTGTAAAAAGTGTAAGATAATTTCAAACGTGTATTGATTCTATCTTGCATGTGCAGGTTTTTGCTGAGAACTACAATGGAGAAGCAAGACAAACAATGATTCACTCACAGCATCCTACGCTATGGTAAGATTACAAACACTCAACAGTATAACTACATTTTGTATTCTCGCCTCTCCCTCAAAACAATGATAAAAGATGAGATGATGAAATGCACATTACTGCATTCCCTGGGAGTATTCCAGCCAGGCGTTACTTGACGCTCAAAAAACTGTTTGACCAACAATGACGGCCAATCCTACCAGTTACTCATTTGACACCTGGGTTGAGAGTAGCAAGTGCAGGTTAATATCTTGCCAAAGGATATTAGTGCCGTGTCGGGATTCGAACCCTTGACCTTCGCATCTCCAGTCAAGCGCCTTAAACCACTCGACCACGACACTCCCATGATAATGAATTTGTATTTCTATCTCTGTATAATCAGGTACTCGTATGCTATAGTCGGTATCAACTTGACCAGTCTGGTGTACGATCTACTCAAAGATGGACTGCTCAGGGAACATTTCTACTATACCATTACAGGAGAACCAGCTATATACCATTTTCATAGGATATATTGTAAGTATCATTCACCTCATATCATATATGTGGCTAAACATTAAGGGGGGTGGGGAGTGATGTAGGACTAAATTTTGCTGAATGGACCACACAGGGATTATTTCTACTATAAGATCACAGGAGAATCCGTGGGATGTATTTTAAGCAACCTTCTCCATTTCTGATATTCAAAGAGGGGTGTTGCTCCTAGAAAATTATAAAGGAAATGTTTATATTGGACCAAATTTATATAAAGTTGACTGATAATACGAACACGTCCATAGATTTTTAAGATTTACTGTTGGAGCATGGGGACACTTTGTATCTTGAACAAATTGTTCAAGGGAAAAAATGTCCTCAGATTTTTTATTTCCAGACAAGGCTCAAAAATATACATTGATTGAAGAAAGGTGTCACATCGTCATCCCCTCACTTCAAGGAGATGTTCATCTTCAGTATATGGTGGTTAATCTGAATGATTAGAATTGCATGATCAATTATGATCAGTTCTAAACAGTTGTTTTCGAAACACAACGATTTGTACTATTGATAATCAGGATCTAAGCGTTCATATTGACACTTTCCTTTCAGATTTATATATTTTGTCAATTCAGAAGCAAAATGACACATGTAATGAATTACTGTTTATCCAAATGACAAGATAATATTAGGATGTGGTTTATTAAAAGTGTTGATACTGACTCAATTGTTTTCTCTATTATATACAGGTCAAGTGTTCACTGAATTTGATCGCTTCTGGTTTGCTGAGAAACCTAAGAGCGTGATGGAGTTTGGAAGTGTACGCGACAAATTTGAGAAGAAGGTTGTTGGTTTGCTGATGAAGAATGATAATGCCATTCTTCATAACAATTACACAGGCATGTCATGATGCCAGGCTGGCAATAACAAGTATGGAGATAAGTGATAAGATATGCTTAGCAATGATAAGCAATGACGGACATGCCACTCATATACCCTTTTCACATCTATTTTTCTTACCCCGGACTATCCTTAACCCCATACTATCCTTAACCCCATACTATTTTTTTTGCTGTTCACATCTATTTTCTTAACCCCGGACTATGTGCTTAGCCGGGGTTAAGAAATTTCACGCGATTCACACTACGTTCGCCTTAGCCCCGGACTATTCGATAGCTCATGAATATTAATGCTTTTGCTACCGCGCATGCGCCTTTCGACTAAATGATTTTTTCATAATGACCTCTGCCTCGTAAAAGACTAAACGTCAATACAGAGAGCATGCATGCGTAACGTGAACTGCATGCATGCGTAACGTGAACTGCATGCATAGCGCGCGATAAATGCAAATTCACGACCACACGACCACGCTGTCTGTGATTGGCTGTTGCTTAGCCCCGCTTCTCTTAGCCCGGTTCGGATTCACACTACGCAGCTTAGCACCACAATTGCCCGGCTAACCCCGCAATTGCCCGGCTAACCCTGCTATTTTGCAGGGCAGATAGTCCCGTACTATTTGTGGGGTTAGCCCACTTTGGCAAAACGTAATGTGAACAGAAAGCCGGCTAAAATTACCCCGGGTAATTGGTGGGGCTAAGGAAGGAATTGGTGGGGCTAAGAGCCCCCTTAGCCCCACCTATTTCCCGGGGTTAAGCAATATTTGGTAGATGTGAAAAGGGTACTAGTGGCATAGGTAGTGACAGATATATCTCTTGATTTTTACTGCATACATGTATATGTGCACAGAGGCATGTGACTATATGCTTTCAATTTTTTTATGACACATCATGTAGTGGTATTCATTTTAATCATGTTATTCTGGGTGTAATTTTGTAATTGATTGTTACCACCCCCCCCCCCCCCCCCCCCCCCCTCATGATGCATTCATTTCTCAATGTATTCACATGCTTGAATTATCATTCTAGTTGTGATTTTGCGTGTTCCATTGTAAAATGAGACCGTAAGAATACATACACGTAGCCAAATGCTGGTTTATAATTTCTTGTCTAATAAAGTCATTTTAGAGTTTCATCAGATTGCTACATGCCTGTAACGGCAGGGTATCAAAAACTTCAAGTATTGTCCTGTTTGATTTTAAAATGTAGTGGGCTCATTTGTTCCACCTACAAATGTGATAGGGCCTTAGGACTAGAGTATGCTATTCTATTAGCATGACCTTTGAGTTAATTTTTCAAAAATATTCTTTTATAATAAGTGGCAATACCTGCTGTTACACATTGTTTAAGCTCCTACAAGGCTTCAATTAGCTTCTACTTACTGCTGTGACTGAGTCCTGAGCAATCACCATGGTACGACATCCCAATCTAACCAATGCTTTTCTTATTCAACAGTCTGAGTCAGGCTGACACAACTTTTTTCTTGTCTTTGTAATAATTGTATACCGAGTTCATGTATTTTCTTTGAAATTGAACCCTGTCTCTTGATGAGCAGAGGGCTGGTTGGAGAGCGGTATGCAATTAGTCATACATCATGCATGAATATGACTAGTGCAATAGTCATTAAAAGAGTAATGAACATCAATGACCGTGATTACATGTTACATATACTATACAGAGCATTGAAAAACAATAAGGGGCAACACAAATATTAACATTTCATAGGAATAAGGATTATCATCAGAGTGACTCTGTCAATGCTGTGACTTATATTTCATCCTATTACGTGGTGACCAATTGTGTATCAAGAATGCATCTTTCTTGACTTGCATTTAGAACATTTAGTTTTGCCTATATGAGCAAGTTCTCTATGGACCAAATATGAATTCATTGGAGTAAAATAAAAGTGAAGGATGTATGTAATCATGTCAATGAAACTTTTTTCAGCATTTGTATACATGTAGTTGTACATGTTGCCAGAATTCATTATTTTATGCATTTGTTGAGGAAAAGTTTGACTGTCTCAAAAGTACTTCATGTGTTTTGTCAAGTGGAAAGAGTGTGTGTAAAGTTAGATGTATGTCATGCAACTCGAACTGTTCATGTCAATCAAAGAGAAAGATTAAACATATCTAGAGTATTCATTTCAAACACAAAATCACTGACAGATTTATCCATTTTATTACCAGCAGCAAATTCAGTACTGGCTTTCAAAAGAGTTTGATGTGCATGTAGTTTTAGCGCTTGTCGACAGTGCATGAGATTTGTGAAGTTTTATACACCAGAGCCCATTTCTATGTCTCGTAGAAAATATGCAGACTGTTTATCCATTGACTACTGAATTATCGTATTCCACTTATGTTTAATACAGAAACTACCCACTTCCATAGGCAGTGGGTTAACTAAATAGGCTGCTATTCATAAAGACCTACAAGTTGAAGTTCAGGTTAAGACCCAGGCGTCCCACTGATTTATGGAGCGCCAAACTCTGTATCCTAGAAAATTATAATCAAATGAATAAACAATTGTGCAATTATGAAACCAATGTTCATTTTTGGTTTTCTAGCTTCTTCATACTTTTGAAGATTATTTAGCGGGTGAATTACATGTACATACCAACATCTCAACCCTTCCTGTGTATAGTACATTAATATTGATTACCTACACTGACAAGGGTTTTTTTTTCCCCAAAAAATGTGTCCAGATAGGCCTTGGTTATTTTGCACTCCTTCTCTTCTTTAAAGATATTAGGGTACTTCTCTGCCGACTGATACTTCTTCTCCTCCAAAATGATCCTATAAATACATGTACAGGAGTTTGGGAGGTTCTAATAGGTTCATTTTGTACTATCATAATTCAATTTATATGTAGCTGACCGTTCCTGTTCATAGTGCTCAGTATGCTCCAATAAAAGGACAAGAAAAAAGTTCTTGTTGAGAACTCTTTCAAATATTGCTTACATTCCTCTTTCGACTCTTTGAGCATCTTTCAGTACCTATTGCATACCTTCAGTGAAAAGACTCAATGGACTTTCTAACAGTCTAGCTGTACATAAAACAGTTTTACGTAGTTGTATGAATGTAGCTTTCCATTAAAAAAAAATCAGTCTACATGCATGTACAAAATGATTACGGTAGCTTTTTACCATGAAGCATTGGCCTTGATAGTCTGTTAGCATATGCCACAAGGCTTGAAATTACCCAAATCACATATAGTAATAATTTTGACTTACTTTCAAGAGGCATCATGCAGGTTACCGATTCATCATTATACATTGCGGTTAACAGGAAGAAATGTCATACAGGCAAAAAAATGTTTCAATATACCGATTCCAGCCTAAGCAAGTCTTTTGTCATGATGTTTACCATCATTACAGATGCAAGAACTTGTTTCTCAGCATACTATATAACAAGGAAATCTGTTTAAATGTTATGGATGAATATTATGTTCATGCTGGTATCATTAATTGCCATATTTTTACTAACTATATTGAATTGAAATGAATCGGTTTATTAAAAGCAACAGGCTGATATTGTCTGTTTTTACAAAGTAATCAGATATTTACATTATAATACAAAAATCAAAATATGTAAGTAATATATCAATGGTAACATCTCACAGCAATGTTATGTAACATTTTGAAATGTATCAAAGATGTGGACAAGTAGTTCATCAAAATAATTTAGGCAGTGCCATTAAGTATTTAATAATAAATCTCATTGAGCATGCTCAGGAATATTATATAGAATTTCGAAGATTGCATTTGTTGCTGTATAAAAATGAATAAATGGCATTTATTTTGTGAAAAAAGGGGGATGCACTCTATTTCTATTATTATATTGTGTTTACCTTTTAATATGGACATTCTCCTTGAATCAAGCTTTGTCATTTTAGAAACTTTCATAATTACAGAATTGCATATTTTGATGTCAGAAGTAGGAAAAGTTTAAAGTTACTATGTAAATGGTGGCATTTCCTTGTTTGTAAAAACATACAAGCTTGGAAAAAATTGTTCTCAACACATTTTTAACTTTATCCCAACAATACGCAATATTCTTTCAGCTATCTGTTATTTTCTGGGAACCTTACAATTGTACTCTTATGCATATGTACAAGTGAAGCTTGAACATCTACAAAGTTGACTTTCTATTTTCTAAGTTTATTTCTATCTTGAATACATATATTGAAATCATGAATCATCTGTTGTACATTTTCTTTTCAAGAAAGATGTTGTTTCAATATACTCTAGAACCTTGTCAATAAAACTATCAATTTGATATTGAAGTGATGTTTGATGTTGTGTCATTTAGAGTGTATGAAGGCACCTTTATTTAATGCCAATTATGAGTTTTCTGTTTTGATGCAGTATGGAAATTGTTTAGGCCAGTAAAATGATAACAAACTTACAACTTCACAATCATCACTGCCACCAGCACCATCATTGGCCATCATGTCTTAATTTACAAGTGTTTTCAGTTTAAACAATAGAATATCTCCGAAGCTTTTTTTGTGCTAACTCGAGTTTCCCTCAAAAATTGACCATGAAGAAATGAATCTGGAATTCATGTCCTGAATGTAGGAGCTTGTATATCTCCTATGCCCATTGTCTCAACCTTGGATCTAAAAAAAATCTTAGATTTATTCTCATTTGGCTATGAAACACATTCCTTTGTGATCAGATTATAAAAACAAAACAAGAAAATCAAATTCCTCCAATCTTTACCTTTTTAATCACTAACATCATAAAGCCATAGTGAAACTTGAGAGTACAGATCTTTTGTCAAGGGAGTAGTGGTTCCCTGCTAAGACATTGCAATATTTTATTCCCCCCCCCCCCCATTAAAAAAAAAAAATTGAAGCAAAATAATAAACAGACCCATTTCAGCTTGTAACACGCAGAACCATTCAATATATGCAACGCATGGAATACATTAAGTCTTTGTGTAATAATACAAACAAAATACAGGCAACTTTATTTGACATCGCATACAAATAATGCACATGTACTGTATTGAATGTTTTTTCTGTTACCACAAAATCAATGTAAATAAAGCAAATGAAAAGAAGAAAAAAGATGGTTTATAACATGTGTTCCTTGATTATTAAAAGTGTGCTCTTGCTAGGATACTTTATGAAATTTAGTCTGAACACTAATCTAATCAAAGTCATTGGGAGTTGAGCAAATAGCTGCACATGTACACAGACAACAAGTTTTCACAAAGATCAGTTAGCATTGCCAAAAACCCTTACTAGAAAGGTGACTGAACTTTCTAAAGATGTCTCGTAATTTTCCTTAACATTAAGTAAAAGTAATGTAACTGGAACAAAATAATTACATTTTACAATTCCTTTACACATTAAAAATTCAGAGATTAGACCCAATGGCCCGAATTCACAAAGGAGGTTTGTCGACAAACCTAGGGTTTATGTGCGTCATATGATGCATTTCGACGCGTTATTACAGACCAAGGTTTGTAAAAATGCATCAAAACGCACATAAACCTAGGTTTGTCAACAAACCTCCTTTGTGAATTCGGGCCTACATCTTATAATAAATAATGTATGTGGACATGTCTTACTCAATTCAACTGGTATATAATGTCAAATCATGTACAAAAAACATAAAAGTAAAGATTTAGATGTAAACAGACCATAACATATGCAACTAGTTCTGATTCATGGATGCTTCTTTTGTACATGTAGAAGATATGCCTTTGCAGATGGAAATGCCAGTACCAATATTATATACTGCAGAAGCAGGCACAGAATTCAAATTAATTAAAAGCAATGGACCTATATATTCAGTAATGTGAGCTTTAACTGTGAATTGGTAAATATGTGGGGGGGGGGGGGGGGAAGTAGTTGCAAGCAAAAAAAAATGACTTGAAAAAGTAAACATACGTGTAGTGTAAATTGAAATTAACTTGACATAAATTTAAAGCTAAATTCAGACTTGGTTAACATCAATAGTGAAACTCTTATCGATTGGTATATGAAAACCCATTACCCCATGTTCAATATCCTGAAAATATCTTTTGTTAATGCTTTTAAAATATATAACTATCTCAACTGCATCTGACAAATTTAAATACACCCTTAAATCACGTTATTCAACAATGCGTACAAAGTGACATGCTTGATTTTCACTCATTCCCTACTGTAAAATACTCTGCCTCTGTCACATAATGACTGAACCTCATTCATCCATCATTCTTGTTGTGAAATCCATCAGATAAGCATGACACATTTAAGAAGAAACAAGGAAAATGAGAAATTGGCTACTGTTATTTGGAACCTTCTTTTATATCTTACTACCGGTACTGACAAATATAGGTTACCAAACTGATTTTGTTGTTGTTGAAATTTGTAAGCTTTTTACACTAAGCTCCATTCCTTATCCATGTTACTTTCAGGACCATATTTACAACTCTACAAACAGAGATGACAGATGATGGGACTAGATATCCTGATGTAAACATAACGACCAAGAAGCGTTGAGAAATAGGACATTGTGATCATCAGCGTCCATACCTGTAGTATAAAAAAATGTGAAGAGAAAAGAAAGGAATGTGACAACTGTGGTTAGGAAATTTTCTCTCGCTTATTCCTATTTCTATATCAACAATAACAATAACAATAACAAATTTCTATATCAACAGAGTAACAATAAGTGGCAATTTTTACGAAGGCAAATAACGAAGATTTTCACCCATTCCCTACTGTAAAACATAAATGGGTACTTTTTAATCCACTATTCCTAAGAAGTACAATGTCTTCACTTTTGTTTTATTGTTTTTAATAAAATGGACTAACAGGATTAATTCATAATAACTACAAGCTGAAATTCATGTTGAGTAAACCGATTTTGATAAATATAGGTATGACAAACTCTCAAAAGGATTCTCCTGTTATTGACCGAAAGTAAATATAAATGTATTTTCATCATCATACTGAAGATAGGCTTGCTTGTCTACTGTTTTTCCCCGAAATTCCAAAGTATACTTATATAATGGCATGAATAAATATTTTGATTTAACTCTTATTATGCCACAGAGCTAATCCCCCCCCCCCCCCCCCCCCCCCCCCCCCCCCCCCCCCCCCGTGTCAGGTTGTTTTGGAGATAATCTGATTAACACAATGGTTCTATGAATAGCGTGTGCGAAACACACAGCACAGTCCATTATGCATGAACAATAACTGCTATTACGAATGCGCCCTTGCATATGGCAGTAAATCAATGGTTAGCTTGCATGTACAAAGCACTAAAACGGTAGCGTGCATGCAGCCTCATGGCATGCTATGAGTTAAAGGAAGTAGCAACACTGTATTAACTTACTTTTGAAATTCCCACTCTCTGTTGTCTAACGGACACACTTGTCTGGTCTTCAACCATCTTGATATGCAGTGAAAATGGAAGGCATGCTGGAAAGAAGAAAAATAGCAAATCATCTATAAGGCATATTAGTTAGGGGTGTTGGGGGCAATATAGGGGCAGTTTGGTGCAGATTCTTCTAAAAGAATCCAATTTGGCCCAGATGTTGACCATCAGATCATACACCATTTTGGTTAAATCTAAAATGGCCGCTAGATGAGCTGGAAGTCAATTATATTTTCAAACAAAAGGTGCTAGAATAATGAGATTTTCTTGAAGTATAACGTTTTAATACAAGTATAGAGAATCTGATTCTGATGTTATTTCATTAATTTGATGTCAAGAAGGGTGCCCCTGTGGTCGCCATTTTGGTCAAATCCAAAATGGCCGCCAAATGAGCTGGAAGTCAACTCGAACATGGCCTGGCAGACGAAATAAATAAATACAGGTTGTTCTGTTGAGAAAAAAGATTCAACCAAGTGTATTCATGAGATACAACCATATCCAAAGTGTACCCGTAGATTATGTATATTTAGTACCAGGGAATAATTTTCCGGGTATCGCATCGCAATTTGCTATGCATTTTTGCATGACTGCTATACAAAATATCTTTTGTGTAGCAGTTTTCTTCCATAGAAATGTACAGAATTGCATTTGAAATATTTATCCATCGGCTGAAATTGCTAATCAAAAAATTTGAGGAAAATTATTCCCTGAGTACAGACAACAAAAAAATGATTTGAATTCTTTAAATATCTAAGTAAACTCACAAGGAAATATATTGCTCATTAGGTACATCTAAAGTTGAAAATATAAGAAGACACAAATGTATATTTGAAGCGTGTCCCTGCTGTTTTTACCATGTGGTACCTACACCAAACCCCAAAGAATATAATTGACAGTTTGGATTTGTCCTTACTATCAATACTATCAAGAGTCCAAGAGGCTACTTACGTTACACACACCCCATGCTACTGTACATTCTTCTGAAGTTGCTGATGCTTGGTTGGCTTGACATTCTATACCTGGAAGAAAACATGTTAAAAAACCCAAACCGTAATTAATGGGAAGCAAGATCATATGGGATATGAAAAGAAGTATGTAATCCCTTTGAAATTACTCCTCTAGTTATCACGTATCCATAATATTTGTACTGTAATACAAAAGAAGTCTCCATATTCTCTGATATTGAAAATGAACAATGATTAATAAATCATTTATTATTTCAAGTTAATAATTTTTCTCAAAACTCTTAGGGGTGATTTTCTTTCTAATTATGCATTGTAGTAAAAAACCTTACAGATTACAAGACATTTCAGTGGAACGTGTTTCCTTGTTGAGAAAGAGGGGCTCAAAACGTTATCGTCTCCATAAGTTAAAGACCCTATTCTGATGAAAATACAACTTTATACCCTTTATAGTTAACAGTGTACACAAGCAGCAAAGTAAGAAGAAAATGGGAAATAAGAAACATCCTGATAAAGGCTACAGCCTTGACTTCTCAAATCTCTCCAGGTTACTGCAATGTGTTTGTGTGCCTTGTTTAGCGAGTCGTCACTCTCCATATTAATGCTCTCTGCGGTAGTACTGAAGAGAGAAAGACTAATTCAGAAAATTAAAATGTACGTACATGCATGTACAAGCAGACTATGCAGTATAATAATCTTTGATTGTATTCATACAACTCATTAATTTATCATAATCTGTTACTTTTGAACACTTAAATAAATATTATCTTTGATATAATAAGATGAAATTAGGAAATCAACAACATATCAAATAAACTGATGGGTGTATACTTACACAAGTCCATAATATGATTTCTGCAGATTGCACAGTTATCTACAACTATGTCCCAGGCCCATAATGCTACAGCATTCCACTGAAAAGAGAGAGGGAAAACAAATCATAGCACTAATTAAAAAATTTCACGGGCAGTGCACAATTATGATCATGGATTTTGTAAGCTTACATGTACATGTACAGTACATATACGGTTTGTCCATCAAGCTTGTTCAGAAGCCTATCCAAAATTTGACCCGTAACTCCAGTGTGGAGATACCCCACTAAAACATACCAAAATTTAAGTAAATATTTATCAAAGGTTTAAATAAAGATCATGAGTTAAAATTTGTTATGTTTATTACCTGTTTCGTGTCAATTTTCTTGTTATTTTTGGAGTTTTTAAAAAAAAAACATTGATATTAGTAGGGTAGCGCGCCCAGTATTCGGTCAGACAGCCATTTCAACAGCTGTAACAATTAACAAAAATAATTCATGAGCCACGAAACTTGCACAAATCAGGCAGCTGAACAACTATACTTAACTCTCAAAATTAAATCAGATATAGGGCCCCGCAAAGATCTCCAACTTAGCTTGAAATTGGTCAGTGTGGCACAACTTTCTGCACTTCCGCGTTCTGTTAGCACATGCGCTAACATGCGTAGTGGATAGCGCATGTGCTAACAGAACAGTCTATTGCGAAACAACGATGTGTGCTGTCGCAATGAGTGTGTGAAGAGGAGCTCTTCCGTGTTCGCTCCATCGCAGCGAATTTGCAAATGACGCACTTGCCGATGTGCAAGTGGTATTTATACGACACCTTTGCCATGTGGTAGCGCTCATCCAGAATTGCGCTACAACACATTGACATTCAGTGCTTTGTCGCGCAATTGTGTGAAAATAGTGCGCAAACACACTTCGCTCCTTGGCAACAGAGATACCACGCACAAATCGCGTGACCGAATTCTATTCTGCGCTACCGAATTCTGGGCAGAAAAATGCTCCGTCTTCTTTCGGAAATATTTTGCTTATCATCATTCTTTATTTTAAATTTAAGTCACTATAAAATCCTGTTAGAGGAATAATTTCTTTTCTTTTGATGGGTAGATTGCCAAATGAAAGAGGTAAGAATTCAAAACATTAGCGATTTCCCCTTAAGTGATCGAATACCGGGCGCTCTACCCTAGATCTAGATCTAGAGATCTATACACTTTTTCACAGGTTCCATGGCAAACCGCTGCACAATACAAGTGCATACCGGTGTTGGGTTGCGGGCGGGCGCACGCCTGTGTGAAGTTATCTACCGTAATGTCTCAGATCCTCGTCGGAGTTACGGGTCAAATTTTGGATAGGCTTCTGAACAAGTGCCCTTATTTGTCCACGTTTACGAGGATATCCTCATTTATGTGGAAGATCGATCCTCATTCTGATTCTTGAACCATTCCTGCAGCGGAACAACCGTCACTATCAGAAACTGAAGCTTTCGGTCTTTGTGTTAACCAAGATCATGCAATGAATTATTCACCAACCATTTATTAACATCACTTTCACACAAGTCACACAGCCATTCACTCAGCAATGCCGCGCCGCACCGGTGGACATAGACCGAATTTTCCGTCTCTTTCGTTCGTTAGCCTCTTATTGGGGTAGGGTCGGCTCTCTCTTTAGAGACGGAAGCCGTTTATACACATGTCCTTGCTAACGCCACGGCCAGTTCTGGTCGTAGCGTTTTGCCCCCAAAATCCCCCAAAATGTCATTTTACCTCGAGCATGTTAGACTATATTGTAAATTAGGCCTAGATCTAGGCTATAATAAATCAGTTCCACTTACCAACTTGACTGAAATAATCAGTTTAATAGTCCCTTTTTAGGAAATTATGGGTCAAAATCGGAATCCATGTTGAAAAAGATTTTCAAAATGGATTTCGATTTTGACCCATAATTTCCTAAAAAGGGACTATTAAACTGATTATTTCAGTCAAGTTGGTAAGTGGAACTGATTTATTGTAGCCTAGGCCTAATTTACAATATAACATGCTCGAGGTAAAATGACATTTTGGGGGATTTTGGGGGCAAAACGCTACGACCAGAACTGGCCGTGGCGTTAGCAAGGACATGTGTATAAACGGCTTCCGTCTCTAAAGAGAGAGCCGACCCTACCCCAATAAGAGGCTAACGAACGAAAGAGACGGAAAATTCGGTCTACGGTGGACAGTGCATTGGTGTGCATGATGTGGACTTATTTTACTATGTGTAGGCCAGTGCAACAAACTTTACAAAGTCAAACTGCAATGCAAAAAAAAAGGTTCTGTAGAAAATAAGACTGCCTTCTTTAACACTTTAAACATCGGATTATATTCGAGTCTTATCACATGGTTATACAATAATATGATACTTGTAAAGGAGTAACATACCTTCTTCACTTCAAATCGTTTCTTCTCGCTTTTAGCACTGCTCGAAGATGAGCTGGTTGATGGAGGGTCGACGTCCATTGCTGTTGCCATTATTCATCAAATGATCGCTAGTTGAATATCGGTGCAATCGGTATCGGGTGTGTTGAAAATTGTTGAACACTGTTCTAAAAATAGATTTTAGACTGTCAGTATAAATATGCCGCATGCCAAGTTAGTAGAGCATTTTGTTCGTAATTCCTCTCTTTAGAATTATATCTTAACCATTAAAAGTCATGCTTACCATTCTTTTGTCGCCGATAGAGATATGATTTGTCCTCTTTTCATAATATTTTTAATGATAAGTATTAATGCCAATAAGTAAAATAAAATAAAAATAGAAATAATGATAGGGTCTAATATACTAATAACAATAATAAAGATAGAATACATGGTTAATTTTATATATAGCACTCATCACTGCACGCATCGTGGGGCTCCAATATGAAACATACTTGCATGCAGGCAAATTGTTTGATCATAATATCATGTATGCAGTTTGGCTATATAATTAACTATAACTCTTTGGAACTATATGTCTGAAGAAAAAAAAACACAATTATGTCCATTAATGATTTGTAAACATTTCATACACTTTCTCCTCTTGTTTTCATTCTAATAATGATAAGCATTTAGCATTCTCATATATATTCTTGCTTTGAACTAATGCATTTGAGTCAATGGATTAATTCACATGGGCAGTTTAAACAAGATTTGAATTGCCGTGAATGGCTATATTGCAACAGCTCCTATATAGCCTCCAACTGTGAATTGTAACAGGTATGTAGATGATTCTATGCTACATGATATTACTCAATATATATCGTTTCTCTTTCTCTCTCTCTTTCTCTAAATATATTATATTCATATAAATGGACATAGTGCATGAACAAATGAGTCATTAAGTAGACATGGTCATTAGCCGCAGGACATTTTTGTGTCCTGTTAACGATTGAACAATAGAATAACTGCCCTCTATACACATTCGCAGGCAAACTTTAAGGCCTCCAAATAAACAATAGGTTTAATCATTGGTTTAATTAATTAGTTATTTTGTTTTTGAATTTAGGGTTAGTGTATGCCCTAGCTGTTAAAGATACTATGTTCTTTTTGCATGCAGCCAACATCAAATTCTGTAGAAGTTTGCAGGAATTATGAATATGTCAACAATGTCCCAACTGTGGAATTTAAACATTAGCAGTGTCCTATAAGTGTTCAGATTATGCACTGAAGGAAACCTGTATGATAAAATGAGCTGCAATTAACAGGTACATGAGCATTTGTCTACATCAACTACCCACTACTTGTAATATGACCTAAATTAAAATGATTGAATCTTTGTGCTGCACAAAATGTACGACCATTCGGTAAAAGGGTCTGAAAATCAGACTATTACTTAGGTAATTGCAATCAATTAAGCCGATTCGACAGCTAATGGTCGTTATTTTCCCACTAAAAGACATTAATTTCGAGCCCTAGTTTTGTTTTGCTGGAAGTTCTAAATTGTTATCGTCTTTCAAATGTCGTTCGAATTTAATCTTTTCACCATGGCCTGACAATGGGAAATATGTAACATTTAGTGTTATATATAGATGTCCTGTTGATACAACATGTCCTGTTGACACAACATATAGAGTTATATATATATATATATATATATATATATATATATATATATATACACACATGAATATATGATATATAAATATTTCATATTAGCTATATATGAATCAATATAGGAAAAAATATCACAATATCTCAACAAATTTAATTAATGATTATCATTTATTTCTGACAAGCATCACCATTTTGATAATTTCCAAATTACATTCCTTTTTTTCATCACAGATATAAAATCTTTGAATATCAATATGAATTCATTATACAAGAGACATTATTGATAAATCATTGATGAACAATTACAATCATTTTGAATAAATGCTGTACTCAGACAATAAACACATACACAGTACAATGACCAATCAACACATACCGTACTAAATAATTCCAGCTTTCATTTTACCACGATACATTCTGTGGTACATGTACAAAAATAGACAGTTTTTATTATGCCAGCAAACTGGATATTCACTTTTATTTTACATTCAGAAAACATCTAACAGTGATCTTGGTAAACTAGTGGATTGCCTAAAACCTGTCTGACATAGCAATGCATCATTCATATGCTGTAAAGGAGGCCGCTACCTCCGTAATGCAAATCTTCTTACATGTATATATAAAATTTGATCTTGTATCTGGTTGAATTATACAATTCGACAAGATGAAAGAACAGTTGACATTATAGAAAATACAAAAGTATTAAACCAAAGTTGTGTTTCTTTCAGAAATACGCAAGAAATATATGCGTCATGAATAAAAAACAATTATATGAATAGACAAGAAATTTCCCTGAGATTAAAAAATTATACCAAGCACAACACCAAATAGAAAACAATATAATGTTAGCTGTATAATGATATGAGATTTGCTTCCAAATCATGATGTCCTCCAAATACATTTAAAATAAAGGAATGCTCAAGACTTTATTTCATAGGTAAGAGTGAAACTAAACAAGTAATTAGCAAGCAAGCTAGGAAGCATAACAGCTGGTGGAAGATACAAAGTTTTACAATTAAGAATTTTACATAAAATGAAATAATATCCAGTCTTTAAGAGAACCTGCAAATTTGGCATTAAAATTTGCAAACATAGAAATTATGACGGTCATGATTTATCCATAGGATTTAAAACTTGAACAATCATGTAATTTTGATACAAAATATGACACTATAACTTTCTTTAGCAATTATGTACACAAATTGATTATATGTGAACGAAAAAGACTTCGTCGGCCGGCTAGCAGAAGGGCGTTAGCGACTCAAAAACTACTTTTCAAATTATTCACATATTTGTTTTATATTTAAACTGCTTTCCGTCCCGAAAATTGGTTTAAAACTTAAAAGACTAATAGAAATGTTATAGTAGGACACGGCCACAATTTTTGTGTGGAAATAAGTCAGTTTTATAAAAGTTTGAGGCAATTTAGTGCTAACACCCTTATGCTTAACGCTTCATTTTTTACCTGAAATTCGAGCTAACGCCCTTCTGCCAGCCAGGCGACGAGTTGCTTAACAAGTATCATAAAGGTAATAAAGGAATAAAATATCTTCTCACACACTTGTATATTATCGCCACATAATATTAGATAGATGAAAGAGAAACTACCATGATAAATCTGTTATACTTTTATTTAGAGAGCATCTCTATTGGGGTTACCACTACATAAGATTCCTATGATTACTCTACATGTACTAAGTGGAATATAACTTTATATATACGGTACATAGTTTATGAAAACTTTGATTGACAACTTGCAAATGTCTTTGGCAAAAATTAAAGACAAACTTGCTTACATGAAAACACAGATGTTGGCCCAATTCTTCATACTTCAGGGAGGATGGTTTGAATGAAATTGCAGTAGAAAATGAACAACAAATGATAAATTGAACATCAAATTCTGTACAAATAAAATGAGACATGTTGTACAGAAGGAAAATTTGAGTATTCACAAAACGTTCACAAAACGATCAATAATACAAACATAAAAATGTAGACTGATCTTACAGAGTTCCTTGCAACTGGTCTTCATAACCAACAAAAAAAAACCTCACACAATAATACTGATTTAAGCACTAAATGCCTATATTATAGGCACTATAGGAATACAGTTATATTTTCTTCATGATTTACAAAATGGTCTTTGACTGTAGATCACTTTTCTGCACTGAGAAATTTAGGACTTTGAATATTTATGCAAATGCATACAACTTGCCCTTGGTAACAGATGCAATCACAATTGTTAGAATACAGCTGAGTATGAGTGCGGCCAAATTTTCCAAATTGTCATTGCCAAACTTGTTACTCCTTTGCCCTTGTGAGAAGATCAGGAACATTCTCAATCTTGAAATCTAGGAGCATCTGCCCATATGCTTTTCCCTAAAGAGAATGAAGAAGAAAGAATTGATTATCGTTACCTCCCAATTAAAAAAAAAAGGACTTGTATACAGGAAATAATCAATAATGAAGACTACTAGTATTCAAGTGAGAAAAGAAAGACATTTATTGCCAGTTAGTATTTAAGTACAGGTTCCTATAAAGCAAAATTCAGTGAGAAACAAAACATACAGTCTTCACAGACAGCATGATATTATTCTGCTCTTAACTCGAAATATTACTACTCTTGTTACTGCATGCTACCTCATACGAAAGCGTATATAATAGTACTGCCACTATCGATTCCACTGTCCCTTTTAATATCACCAACACAATTTCTAAGTTGTCAAAACAGTTACTTAGGAAGTGGTCTACAGACTAAAGTTCAGAAGACCAAAAGTTTTGGTCTTCAGCCCTGTGACAAGTAGTTAGAAAGTTTCAAGAGACCAAACATTCAAATAATGTTTCTGTTGGATAGACTTTCTGACAACTAGCAGAATGCTCCACAAGTTTGTAGGTCTAATAGACAACATTTCTTGGTGATCCTTTAGTCTCATGAATCTTTTTGGACATTGGCCGACCACCGCTAATATTTTGAAGACCAAGAAAGCCCTGTAACTTGTGATCACCACAATTGTTTCTTTACCCACAATGCCACTGCCATCACCACTTATATTGGATCTACCAGACTTTGATGAGGGACTTGAGGAAAGCTATCTTACTGGATAATGAATATTAATTGGGGGGGGGGGGGGGGGGGGGGACTCAACACTCACCTGGGGATCACTCCTTAGGGAAGTAACACCACCACCACCTAGTGACTTCTTGAGCATAAAGTTAAGGGCATCCAGACCTGGGAGATCATACCTGTCAAGCATAAACACACTCATATTAGATAATGGGACTACAAATAAGCATCAAGATAAATATTCTAATAAATAAATTGATTGATTATTCTACCTGACTGCAAAGAAAGCAAGTATAGTGTAAGCGTTTGAAGACGCTTTAAGTGCTATCCCATAAGCACTAGCACATCTGTTTTGAGAACACTGCTTTATATACTACCAAGCCATCATAAGTGCAAATGCAATATATGCATTAAT